ACGCACGCACGCACACACACACACACACACACACGCACACACGCACGCACGCACGCACGCACGCACGCACGCACGCACGCACGCACACACACACACACATACACACACACTTATGCTAGATCAGCCTGTTCGCGACGGTCAGCGCGCGCGCCTCAAGGTCGACGCGGCAGGAAGCAAGCAGGCAGGGGCCGAACGTGGCGCTGACTTTTTCGCCCCCGAGGAGTTCCGAGAACCGCAGCCGTCGCTGCAGCTGTGCTCGAGGGACTGCGAGTCTGGGTAGATCTCAACTGCTTATCACGGCGCCCTCGCCGAGGAGCGCGCGAGATCCTCGACTGCTGGTGGGTGGGCGAGACGCAGGCGTCTCATCGCGACTCTCCCAGCGCGTGATCGTCTTCGAAACTGCCTGCCGAGGGCGAGCGATCGATGCGCGTGGCGTCAAGAAGGCTTCTCTGCAAGGCACGAGAAACCAAGGACTCGCGGATGCAGTTGACGAGGAAGAGCGCGAGGTCAGATTTGAGCTCTCCCCTGATGCCGTCGCAGTCCTACGCAATGTCAAGGAGCGCGAGGATCTCGACCCAGCTTCTGAAGTTTTCCACGTGGTGGAACCAGGCACCGAGCGCAAATGTGTCCCGAGGTGCTGGTCCATCTTCGTCACCGAGATCCAATCAGCTGTGCCGCGCCATCCCAACATTATATGGCAATGAGCTGATCGCCAAACACAGGGATGGCGAGCTACTTCAACTGGTCACGCCAAACATGTCGAGGTCGTAGGACCATCGCAGGAAAAAAAGCCAAATTACGCCAATGCCTAGAGGATGTCTATGGTAAAGGTCAGCTGGATTTTAGTGATGGAGCTTCCACGCTGCGGTGCGCGTCATTCCCCCGCGCGCAGCGGCGGATATGAGCTGGGCCCAGATCGAGTGCACTCAGGCTCTGAAGCTGAGGGGAAGCGCAGTGCTACTTGGCAGGCCCAACTCCGATCTCGTTTCAGAGAACTGGGCCTTGCTGTCCCTCAGCCTGCTTATGGCAGTGGCCATGGCACTCATCGCACGAATCGATCTTCGCGTCTACGTAGTCGCACTGCACTTAAGCGCCGCGCAGCGGCGCCAACGTGCAGCCGCATGCGGAAGCTCAAAGTGCTTGTGAGATGGGCACGGGCCACGCCGTTGCGTTGCGTTGTGCATGTTCGAAATGCACAGCGGCGCAGCATTCCGAAAGGAACAGAAGGAAGGCGCCGACGCGGGGCGGGCCCAGCGAGGAGCCACCTTCCTGTGCACGGGCGCTAGAGACACTGATATTCACAAGCGTTCGTGTACGAGCAAACGCGTCACTTATTAGGCTGGCAGTGTGGGGCGCTCAAAACGGTTGAGCGAAGCGCCTTTGCGAGTGAGCTGATCGCCGCGATCAGTTTGAAGGGCCGCAGCCTCTCTCTGGCCATCCGCTCCACGATGGAGTCAAATTGCCTCGTGGCCCAGAAGGTGCACTTCGCCATCGAGATGGTCAGCAGCCACTTGCGCCGCAATTTGAGCTCTGCCTCAACTCGATCGCAGCCGTCGCAGCTGCGAGACCCCAGCCCCAGCATAATATTCGTTACTGCCGCATGTGCTATGGCTCCGCGACCTCCGGAGCTCGGGCCAGTTGCGGGCCCTGAGCTGGGAAGACACCCGTGATGCGATGGGGAATGGGGAATGGATTGACCGAGGGCAGTGTAGATCGATCTGCCCTCCGCGACGTGGCCGGGGGCTCTCGTCAGCGGTCGCCTACGCCGCGCGCAGTCACCCCCGCGTCGGTTGGCAAGCTCACCGTGCTATCAGGCCATGGGCGCTAGCCGACCTCCTTCAACTAACACCTACCATAATCATGCATTTAGGACCTGTATTGTGCCCCATTCTCTTCGGAACCATCGGTCCTTCCGCGTCCTCATCTTTCGGAAGCTCTGTCGCATGGCGCGCGGCGGTTGGGGGGCGCGTTGCAGCGCGGCAGTTCGGGAGATCATGTCGCCAGGAGTTTCGTCGTTGCAGCGGTCCGTTATGCCATGACTTTGGGCGAGCATAAATACGGACACATCAGACATGGTAGTCACGAGAAAGATCATGCATGAGCAGTCGCGATGCCGCTGCCATTCTTTCCTGCGGCAGGCGTGTGCGCCGCCCGGCTGGAACGCGCTGGGCCGCCGTTGGCGCCTCGCGCGCGGCCCCCCGACGCGCGTCGCAGCGCGCTGGCGGCCGCCCGATGCCTCGCGCACGTGTCAGCATGCCTCGCAGCAAGCCGCCGGAGCCTGTGGGGGCGCCGCCGCCCTCTCGTTCGCGGCCCGCGCCCTCGTCATCCTTGTTGCAAGCGGAGGAAGCGACGACGTCAGAGTGCGTTGCGCCCGCGGCGACGCCCACAGGTCGAGCCGTGCCGCGCGCTCGATCTCCGACGCCCCCTCCAGGCACGTGGGCGAGATGTGGTGGTCCGGCGAGGCAGCTGGTCGCGGTCCGCCCCCCAGGCGCGCCTCCGATGATGCCTCCGCCGGGCAGGTCGCGAGCGCGTCGATTTGAGCGTCGGGTGCAGCAGTCCAACGCGGCAAGGCGTGTTATTTCAATCTCGTTTGTTCCTCAAGGTCACGTTCGGGCTCAAGAGCTTTCCAGGCCCCCTTCGCACCCGCCGTCGCCGCGCAGGCGCCGCGCGGCTGCCGTGTCTCACTCCTGGTTGATGCCCGCCAGCAAGGCATTCGCAATCGCGCCGCGTCCTCCGAGCGCCCCGGCGCCCCCCGACCCGCCAGCCTCGGCGCTCGTGGAAGGTGCTCAGCTGCTCAGCGAGAGCGACGGAGAAGTGGCGCAGTTCGCGGCAGCGGCGCGTCGCCGACCCAGTCCCCAAGCAGCTGTTCCGCCGCAGCCTCTTCTCCACCAACATCGTGGTCCAGAGCTGCGCGCCGGGCTCGTGTTCGAGGCTCGCAGGGCCGCGGGCTGGCTGAGCGGCGCAAGGCCGCAGTGCGCGAACGCTCCGCTCAGCGCCGCCATTGCGATGTTCGCGGCGAAGCTTTATGACCAGTGGAGCTCGTCGGGCCCCCGAGACAGGGCCGAGCGCCGCCGCTACTGGTCGCTCACAGACGTCGGCTCGTGGCCGGGTTCGGCCGGGAGCCGCTGGCTGCCCTTGCGGCGCGCCCTCGTCCAAGAGCAGGCCGCTTGGCTGCCGGCGGCCAGCGACGCTGTCGCCGCGTGCGTCGTGCCCCCTATCACCTCCAGATGAGCGCGCGCCGCGCGCCCCACCTCGTTGCCACCTCTCTCCAGAGGTTCGGCCCCGGCCACCTTCTCGCGAGGCTGGGTGCGACGAGGTCAGTGCGGCGCGCAGCCTGGTCTGGAGACCAGCGCCACCTCGCCCGTTGACCCCGCGCCCAGTCTGGGCGAGGGCGGGAGCCGTGGCACCCGTCGGCTCCCGCGGGCACGCTGTTTCGATCGCTGGCAAGGGCAAGGGCGAGAGCTCTGGCGAGAGCAAGAGCGAGTCCACGCCAGAAGATGCCGCCGACCTTCCCAATAATAATAATAAGAAGAAGAAAACCCACAGGGCTGGCGAGAAGGTTGAGCGCCGGCGCGCCGGCGCGGCCCTCCGCGCGGCTGGCGCCGACGAGCAGCGGCAGCCGCCGTCGCCCTCGGGCAGTGCCGGGCCCGGCGCGCCCAGCGAGGAGGTCGCCCGCGGTGGTCGCGGTCAGAGCGGCCCCCGCGGATCGCGACCGCGGTGAACTTCGAGGCGATAGTGCAGAAAAGGTGCGCGCATCCCTCGAGGTCCATCTCCATCCATCACCTTCACTCCCGCCTACCAGGTCAGGGCATTATACTTCCACCTCGACCTTCACGTGACCCCGGGGCCATCATCTTGCCCAAGTCTCAGGACAGGCTTTCAGACACCACTTCTGCGGCCTGGGGTCACCAACATCATGCGCAATGCGTCATGGGAGTACTCACTCCATTATCGCTCGCACGCGTGAGCTCCTCCAGTGCCGTTCTGACGAACACGAGCGAGCTTCGCAGATGGTGGGCCCGCGCCCAGCCGCGTCGCGCGCCTGTCATGTCAGAGGGCGACGGCGTCTCCCTGCCCAGTCTAGAATGTGCTGGTGGTTGGACAGTTATGTTTCCCTTCTTCCTTTGATCTTTCTTCCCCGCCAGAGCTGTTCGATCGCCCGCGCAATTCCGATTCAAATTGGAGGGGTCGCCGCTGTTTGGCCCGAGCGTCGACGCATATCTGTGCATTGTACCGTTTTTTTTTTTTTTTTTTTTTTTTTTTTTTTTTTTTTTTTTTTTTTTTTTTTTTTTTTTTTTTTTTTTTTTTTTTTTTTTTTTTTTTTTTTTTTTAAAAAAAAAAAAAAAAAAAAACAAAAAAAAAAAAAAAAAAAAAAAAAAAAAAAAAAAAAAAAAACAGCGCGTTTAACATGCCGCCATGCCTTCTCTCGTGCAGCTTCCAGCCCCCGCAATCCTGGTTCCTCCTGTTCCCCCCCCCCCGCGCGCGGGAAAGCGAGGCGCCCGCCTCGCCATCCTTCGCCGGCGAAGAATTACGGCCGCACTTGGTTCGGGGTGCGCCCGCTACATTGGGACACTGACATCCTGGTGTCGTGTTTTTTCATACGGGGCGCTTCCGCCCGGTTTCGGGCCCCGGGCCCCACGGGCCCCCGCGCATCGACCCGGCTTCAAACTTCAGACATGTAGCTGGGAGATTGGTTTTGTGGCCGTGTCGTGATATCTGACGGTTTTAGTTGCTGCCTCGCGGCGTCGCAGTTCGGCAGCCGAACGCGAAGATCTGCATCGGCGGCAATTTTCGGGACGCCCCGGGATCTGTCTCGCATCCTCTCGACTTTCCTCTGCGGTCGGCCCTGGCGGTGCCCCCCCCCCCCCCCCCCGGCCCAGGGGCGGGCTCGCGCCCCGCTCCTGAAGCAGGGTGTGCGCACTGTTCGCAGTTTTTGTCGCCCCGCACCCGAGTACCCCGAGAGAAGGGGCCGGCGGATATCGGCGAGCAGCCTGCTGGCCATGCTGAAGGGCAAGGAGGTATCGTGGAAGACCAGGTGCCGTGGGGGCCGACACGGGGACGGAGACAATGGAAACGAAAACCGACAGAGGTTCCTGTTTACTTTGTCGTCGATTCGGGGCGGGCGCTGCTTGCCCAAAGGCGGCCGCTACTGGTTCTGGACAACGGACATTTGTTATTGGGCATCGTCCCCACCTTTCCGTCCTCGTTTCCGGCGGGCCGGCAGGGCATCGAATAACTGCGGCGCAGACATCGATTTTTGCAGGGCGGCGCCTGAGGCGCCGCCAAGGAGGGGAGGGTCAGCGCTCACGCAAGAAATCCGCACGGACCTTCAAAAGTATGTGTTTGCGTCGTCGTGTCATTCTATAGAGGAGGTGTCGTGGAGACCCAGATGGGGCGGGCGGGGGAGTCCACCGTCCAAATTCGAGGACTGAGGTATTTGTATTTCTGCTGATCCCCTTCGGGACTTTGGGGGCATCCAGAGATCTCTGGGCGCCACCGGGGTGCCCCAGAGACCTCCGGGGAGGCCCAGGCTTCCGGCGGGACTGATGTGTTGGATCTCAACGTTTTTCCTAGATCTGGGCCTTCGGGGAGAAACGGGCCCCGAGGACACGGGTTTCGCAACCGTCCGCGGCTTGGTCGGTTCGGTTGCGTCGAAGTCGGTTGCATTTGGTCGGTTCGGTTTGGTCGGCTGTCGTATCGCTGTTTCCTCACTCCCACATTTTCTGTTTCCCTGCCCCCTCCACGCCCCTCACTTCACCCTCTCCTCCCTGTCCTCCTCCTCCTCGTCCTCGTCCTCCTCCTCCTCCTCTGCGTCCCTCCCCCGCGCCGTCGTCGTCGTCGTCGTCCTCCTCCTCCTCCTCCCCCTGCTCCTTCCTCCCCCTCCTCCCCTCCTCCTCGTCCTCCTTTTCCTCCTCCGCGGCGGTGCTGGGAGTGTCGTCATCTGAGCCCCACAGGGCGGGTCCGGCTCGGAAAACTGTCTGGCGCTGTGCCCAGGGGTGGAACTCGCCGCGGCAATTCCCCGCTGAGCGAACGCTAGGCTTATGTCGGGCCTGTCCCTCTACAGGGGGAATGTTCAAGAATAGTCCAAAAATAGTCAGGGGACTATTTTCTGAGTATTTTTTACCTTTTGGGGCATTTTTTGAGTATTTTTTTTGTTATTATTTTTTTTCGTCGAAAATCTCCCTGTAGGGGGACACGCCCGACCTGACGCTAGGGTGGCGCGCGAGACGAGCGGGCACACGGGCACGGAGGAACCCGCAGCCGCCGAGGGCGAACGCTGCCCGTTCGGCCGCTGCTCTGCCCTTTTCCTGTGGGTCTGTTTTTTGGTAATCGCTCGTTGTGATAGTGGAACTCCTCCTGCTCCCCACTCCTCTCCTCACTCACTTTTTTTTTTTTTTTTTTTTTTTTTTTTTTTTTTTTCTCTCTCTCTCTCTCTCTCGGTCTTAATATATATCTATATATATGTATATTGTTGTTTTTCATTTTTTTTTTTCTCTCTCTCTCTCTCTCTCTCTCCTTCTCCCACACGCACTCGCTCACTCACTCACCAATACCACCGCTACCCACCTCCGACACCACCACAACTTCTTTCTCCTTTCTTGCGCTCCCCCCTCCTTCCCCTTGCCCCGCAGAAGGTCCCCGAGCAGACCGCGCCCCCAGCCCCGGCAGCCGGCGACTGCGGACAAGGGGTGGGACAACGCGGTGAACGATCTCTCGAGGGACAACTTGAGCAGGCCTCCAGGAGAGAGAGGAAGCACGAGGAACGCGGCAGGAGGGAGGAGGCAGGAGGGACCAGCGGGGAGGAGGAAGCAGGGAAGAGGCTTTTTTTGACTGCACTTAGCTCGTTGCAAGTAGCTTGAGCGGGGCGGCCGCAGGTCGGCTAGGCGGCAGACAGAGCCCGCCTAGCGGGCACTACAAAGGATCTCCGCTCCTGGTCCGTCCGCAAGCAAAAGCGATTCTTCGCCATTGGACCTGCGTGTTGGGCGGGGGAGGTATTGGCACCGAAGGGGAGGGAGGGGGAAAGAAGGAAGAGAAGGGATCGGTGCCGTGCGAGAGTCACTAAGCGCGCCAGCTAGGCGTTGCCCTATGCGGGCAGCGCTGAAAGACCGAAGAACAGCACAGCTGGCCTCAGGAACGGCCACCTGGGAGCATGGCTTAGCCATGGATATGAGCGGGATGAGTAGGAAGAGAGCCAAAATGGCAGTGCCGCGCTGTAGGGCGGCAGAGTCGGAGCGGACCAGGAGGGAGAGGCTGGCATTGCCGCCTAGAGACCTAGGAAGCCCCATCGGAAACGCACGTGACCGGTAAGGGGGGCAGGTAAGAGAATGCCTGTGCTGTACTTGGCTTCTTAGTGTTAGCGGGATTCGCCGACACGTGGTAAGAGGAGGAGGGAGGAACTCTAGGGGGGGTGAAGGAGTATCTTGCACAGCCAAGAAGCACTAAGGCGAGGTAGCTGTCCGCAGCAGGTGCGCACCTCTGACGGGCAGCATTAGCCGAGAGATACTCGGCAGGAGGGAGGGGGGGTTCCCCGGAGGATGCTCTGCCAAGGAGCTGCCGTGAGCGGAAAAGGCCATTTGCGCCGAAGACGGCCGCATGGAGACCAGCTATATGCCAAGACGGTGCAACGTATGACATAACATTGCATTGAAAAATGCGTTGCTAGCATTGTCTGGCCGGCCGTGCCGAGGAAGAGGGAGGAATCGAGTAAACTGTCATGGCATTGTCTGTAGGACCACTCTGCGGAAGATGACTGGTAGCGCCTGCGGCTTCGCCGAGACCTGCAAACTTGAGGCGGAGTGCCGCTGAGACAAGTGCGTGACAGGTGCATGCGCACTGCGCCGAGTCGGAAGCCACAGGGCTGCTGAAAGCTGTCTACGGTCGCTGTCCAAAAATCCTGACGCCGAATGTGGTGTGGTCCCTCGGCCTGGTGTGCGAATGACCCTGGACATGGAGCGTACTGCACGGCACGTAATACGTAATGCGCGAGGAAAGGACCAGGAGGAGGGAGTGCCAAGGGGCAAAAAAGAGGATCGAGGAGATGCACTGAGTGGGCTTTCAGTGTCAACCGTCATCGTATATCGGCTTGTGCGCGTAAAGCGGCTGAGCCACGCAGTGCAAGTCGTAAGAGTGCTGCGTCCTAGCATCGAGCATTGGCTTGGCCTTACCAGAGGCCTTCGCGCTCTGGGCGGCCTCGGCCGAGCGTCCTAGCACTGTTGCGAGCTGTGCTGTTCCCGGCGGCCCTCGCTGTCGGGCGGACGCAAATGCAAAGTGTGGCATGCCGCTCAATGGCAAAAGCGCTTATAGGACGATGACCGTACCCTAGATCCAAATCTGGACATGTGATGCCGATAAGGCAGGCGGCGAGAGGCGCTCGAGCGTGAGCAGAGAGCAAAGAGCAGAGAGCTGTGCATGGGATGCACATGCCTGTGCCGTGTTTGTGTGACGCTTGTCCATGCGAGTACCTGGCCATTTAAGGGTGAAACACGGGACGAACCAAGGCGGAGGAGGAGGATGGACAGGTGAACGAATATGGTAGACAAAAGCGCAAATACAGGTGCACAGGAGGAAAGAAGGGAGAGAGAGGCACGGCGTGAGCACGGCGTCATCGCATCGCGCCGACCCTGACGGGCAAGCGACCCAGCGGTAGCCGGCTTTTGGGCCAGAGTACTAAAGCCGCCTCGAGCGGAGAGCCCTCAGGGCTGGGTGCACGAGGCCGTGAGACTCGAGGGGCGCCGATGCTAGCTCTTGTTCGCTGCGGCCGGCTGCCTCGGGCCGGTGGGCTAAGTGCTTACGCGGGCGCAGTGTGAGACGACTCACGTCTGTGCTGCCTCTGAGTCTTCAGCATCAGAGGACGGAGGCAGATCCCAATAGGGGCGCCCCAGAGGCAACGAAGGAGCGGTTGCGGTATCCATCCGTGCGGCAGCCGCCGCGTCCAGTGCCGCTCGCGCAGGAGTGCTAGTGAAAAAAGGCCGGGGACTGCCAGGTCGTGGCGGTCTCAGAGCCGTGGGGCACGGCTGTGGCGCCCCGGACATTGAGACCGCCTGCGCCTTCAGAGAGGCTGCTGAAAACCTGTGCGTGGCTGAGGGCTGCGTGGAGGCCTTAGGCTGCTGCACGGTCGCCGGCGTATGCACTGGCACTGCTGGCGTATGTACCGGCACAGGTACTGGCACTGGTAATGGCTGAGGCACTGCTGGCGTATGTACTGGCACTGCTGGAGCTGGGACTGCTGGCGTATGTACTGGCACTGCTGGCATTGGGATTGCTGACATTTGTACTGGCACTGCTGGCATATGCACTGCTGGCGTATGTACTGGCACTGCTGGCGAATGCGGAATTGGCACTGCTGGTATTGGTACTGGCTCAGGTACTGGCACAGGTACTGGCACTGGTACTGGCTCAGGTACTGGCGCTGGTACTGGTGAGGCGGCGCGCGCTACGGGGGCAGGCTGCGGTGCCCGCTCGGCTGCGGCCGTGGACAGAAGAGCCGCATGAAGCGCGCCTCCCAGCCGGGAGCTGCACGAGCCGCGATGCGCCAGCGCGTCGAAGGCCCGCAGCAGGCCCTGCACCGCTCGCGCGTCGGCGCGGCGGTACTGCTCACGCCGGGCCGCGGCACTGCGGGGGGGCCTGCGACGGGGCCGGGCCGCCCGCTCGGGGGAATCCATGGCGCGCCCGCTGAGAGGGGCAGGGGGGGGAAAGGAGGAAGCGGCGCGGGGGGGCGCCCGTGGCGCTGGCTGGCAGAGCAGATGCTCGGGCCAGCTTGCGCTGCAGGGAAGAGGAGGAAGGAGGGAGGATGAAGAAGAGGGACGCTCACGCACGTCCAGTCGGGGAGAGAGAGAGAGAGAGAGAGAGAGAGAGAGAGAGTCGTCGCGCTGCTTGCTAGGATAAGCGGGACGCCAGGCAGCCGTGCGAAGGCGCCAGCTGCTCTGCGGGGCCGCGAGCGACCTTGGCCTCCTCAACGCTCAGCCCCCTGTTTTTTAGCACTACTCTAGCCTGCGAGCGCCACGGGCGGAGCCTACCAGTACCGCACTAGGTTGCGAGCACCAAAGTGCACTTGCGAGCGCCAAAGACGGACGTCGCCAGAGCTTCTGAGCGCCGCGATGTCCCTGCGAGCACCACGAGATATGTGTCTGCCACCACCAGTTGGCGAGCGAAGCTGGGCCCCGCCATTTCCACAACAGCTTGCGAGCGCCAACGTCACATAATGTCAGACCCTGCAAATGCCACAGCAGTTGCGTGCACCATGAACTGCTTGCGAACGCCAGCAACGTGCTGCTGGACGCCACACCAGCTTGCGAGCACCACGACTTGCTTGAGACCACCACTGTTAGCTAGCGACCGCCCGACGGCGAAGGAAGCCGGACTCTGCCAGGACCGCCCAGCGATAATTGGACATTGCGGTTGCAACAGTAGTCTGCGAGCTCCACAGGTTGCCTGCGAGCTCCATCAGCGTGTTGTGAGCGCCACTTGCTCGTTGCGGGCATTGTAACGTGCTTGAAATCACCACGGTGTGATCGCGAACGCCAGACGGCGAGGGAAGCCGCGACGCTCAATGAGCACAGTGGTCCTGGCCACCACATGCATGCACACTATGATGTTGCGCCCTGCACGTGCCGCAGTAGATCTCGAGCGCCATGAGATATCCGGGAGCAGCAGCAAAGTGCTTGTGAACACAGCGTTGCAAGAACTTGGGAGCACCATGACGTTCTCGAGAGCACTTCACTGTGCTTGCGATCAGCTGGCGACGATGAAAGCTTGTCGTGCTACTGTCGCAGGACCCCTCCAGTTCTACAGCAGCCTGCGAGCATTGTTGGCCGCCTCCGAGCAAGTGTACTGTGTGTGTACACACCCCAGTGCAGCTGCGAGCGTCACAGCTTTCTCGATAACACCGCAGTGCGCTTGCGACCGCCAGACGGCGAGGGAAGCCAGACCGTGCCCATACCATAATGGCCTGACAGCATATTGCGTATGTGCAGGAGTATGCCAGAGCCTGGCAGTGTCACAATAGATCACAAACCCTGCACTATGCCCGCGAGCATCAGCAATGTGGGCGTTGGCGCCGCAATGGCTTGCTATCACAAATTCCCGCGCAGCGAGTTCTGGCTATCTCTCGCAGTTCTCCTCCATCTGTCGGCCCATCCCGCCACCGTGCATGGACTGTGGTTCAGAGGCCTCTTGGATGCATCTGAGGGTCTCTTGGGATGCCTCTCGGAGGACTGTTGGAAGGGTCTTGGGGGCTTCGGGGGGGCCTCTTGGGGACCTCTTGGGGCGTCTTGGAGGCCTCTATGGGGCCTCTTGGGGCATCTTGGGGGGCATCGGGAGCCTCTGCGGGGCTCTTGGGGCCATCTTGGGGCGGAAAGCTCGACATGTCAGTTCGTGTTTCTCCTCTTTGGGCCCTTTTGGGTGCCTCTTGGGCCGCCTAGGGGGCATCTTGGGCCGTCTTGGTGCCCTCCTTGGGGCCTCCTGGGCAGTCCTGGGGCGCTATTGGGGGCTTCGTGGGCCGTTTTGGAGCGTTAATACAAGCTGCTTGTTACAAGCTGAAAGAAAGACTAGAAGGCTAACACCTATCACAAACCAAGGGTGCTGGAGGCATTTTTGGCGTCTTGGGGGGTGTCTTGGAGGCCACTTGGGGCCGTCCAAGGCCCTCTTAGAGCCATCTGGGACCATCTTGACGCTCCAATGGTTCGCGCCCCCCCCTTCCAGGCACAGGGGAGGGGGAACGGGGAGCGGTCAAGCTACCCGCCTGCCCGCAAGCCGTCTTGCTCACTCCCACCTGACCTCCCAACACATAAATAACACCTGGGTGTCAGCATATCGATGGCGATAAAGCGAAAAGGCAGCAGCCAGCAGCCACTGATGTGTCAAACCAGTCGGTCGACCACCTGCGCCCAGAAGACCCCCAAGATATCAAGTCGTCCAGCTCACTCCCACCCGCCCTCCCAACAAATAAGGAACACCCGAGCCTGAGCATGTTCAGCGGTCGTCTTCGGATGGACAGCTACTGGTAACCAACCCGACCCCATGTGCGCGACGCTGGGGCGAGGTGCGCCATGCGTGCCAGGCGCGCCACGCGCGTCAGGTACCCCTGGGGCCCGAGCGTGCCAGGCACGCCTGGTGCGCCGGATGCGCCACGTGCTCCACGTGCGCCAGTTGTGCCGCACATTCCAACCTCGCCAGGTGCACCACGTTCGGGGCACGTGCAGAGTGTGTCAGGTGCGCCTGCGTACGTGACAGCACACGTCGGGAAACAAGGCGGCCCCCCGCCATCCTTATCGAAAACCAATGCACATCATTGTGTCTGGTGTGCCTGCGCACAGCAGGCGATATGCCACCACCCCCGTCGTCCTTGTCACGAACCACTTGACAATGATCGCGAGGTGGCCGCGCATGATCCATATTTAGCCGCGAGTTGCATTCTATGATTTGTTATGGATGGTAGCCCTGCGCGCAGCAGGCAATATGCTGACACACCTGCCGTCCATGCCAAAAAACAATACACAGTGCTCAGGGGCCTTACGAATATGATTCAAGACCTTGCCCCAAAGTGTACTTGGTATTATTTTGGGACTGGGATGATGGGGGGACCCGCATCGGGTTGGTTGCGCAGGCTCCGAATTTTGAGGCAGAGTGTGTGTTTGTATTGTTTTTTGTCAGGGATGGCTGGGGTGCGGGGATCATAGGGTAGGCATTGTTCCTGGTTGGCTGCCGGTCGCCTGGGGGAGGGGGCGTATATGAATAGGGAGCAGTGATCAACCCCTCCCCCGAGCAGGGGAAGGAAGGCTTTCGCTAGAGAGAAGACAGAACTCGTTAAACCATCTGCGCCCAGAGGGCTGGTTGGATTTTGCCGACTAGGGCCGTTGGTGGAGTTCCTTGTGGGGCACGAAATGTGTGAGGCGTGTGCCGAAATGTGCGGGGCGCGTGCCGAAACGAGCGGGGAGGCGGCACGCAAAATTCCACAGTGGGGCCTCAGGTCAAGCGCCCTGTGGGGCACGAACTACGCGATGGGTGTGCCGAAACGGGCAGGGGGCGACATGCAAACTCTGCCACTGGTGCCGTCGGTAGAGCTCCCTGTGGAGCACGAACCGTGCGAGTGGTTTGCCGAATTTGAGCGGGGTGCGGCAGGCGGAGGCAGGGAGAGGCCGAGGAGGAGGCGGAGGCGGAGGCGGAGGCGGAGGCGGAGGAGGAAAATGAGGAGGAGGCGGAGGAGGCGGAGGCGTTGTAGGAGGAGGAGGAGGAGGAGGAGGAAAAGGAGGAGGGAGGAGGAGGAGGAGGAGGAGGAGGAGGAGGAGCAGCAGGGGGAGGAAGAGGAGAAGGATGAGGGGGAGGAGGAGGAATTTGAAGCAACACGGCTTTGCGGCGCCTTAGCCCTGTCAGTGGGCCCAGATTCCTGGTGCCACCGCCCTGGGGGGCACGGTGGCCTGGCGGAGCAGAGCGGCCACGCAACACAGCGGCCTGATGCTGCTGTGCTGCGTGGCCACTCTGGGTGGCGCTATGAGAGGTGAGGAGGAGAAGGAAGCAAGGAGGCGGAGGAGGAGGAGGAGGAGGAGGAGGAGGGGAGGAGGAGGAGGAGGAGGAGGAGGAGGAGGAGGAGGAGGAGGAGGAGGAGGGGGAGGAGGAGGAGGATCTGGGTCGCTGGGCCCAGTGGCAAGCAGGTCTTGTCCCACAGTGCGGGCTGGCGACCCCCGGTCGCCCATGCCACGCGAGGGAGGGGGGGTGCGAGCGGGGCGGCCACCCGTGACAGTTATTGCCCCGGGTGGCGCTATGAGAGGAGAAAGAGAAGGATGCGGAGGAGGAGGAGGAGGAGGAGGAGGAGGAGGAGGAGGAGAAAGAGGGTGAGGAGGAGGAGGAGGGTGAGGAGGAGAAGGAGACGCGCGGCGCTGCGTCTTCAAAGCAAGGAGCAAGGACCGAATAACACAGGAGGGGTGGGATTTGTTGGTGCCCTCTTGGGCACCTCTTGGGCTCTCTCGGGGAAATCTTGGCGCCGCTTGGGAGCTTCTGGGGGTCGTTTGGGAGTGCCGTCTGGACCGGTCTTGGGGCCATCTTGGGGCCGTCTTGTGGGCCTGGTGGGCACAAGAGCGCCCAAACAAGGTCCCGAGGTAACGCCACGAGTGTCGAGAGACCCGCTAAGTCAGGACAAGCCAGCCATCTATCGCGCCCTCTCAGGGGGATTGCGCTTTCGGTTCCCGAGCTGGCGATGTTTTGCACGCTTCTGGCCCGTTGGGCCAGCGAATCTCGAAACACAGGTATCCTTAAATGTGTTTGGCGCGAGGGGGCCTTTCCAAATGATCCTTGGGATCTGTTCTGGGGCACTGCTCCGAACTGTCCTTCCCCGAGCAGTGCTTGCACCTAGGGGTTACCCTTTGGCTTCCTGAATGATGCGGATGTCAGTGTGTGTATGCCGGGTGTTCGGCTGGTGCCCGGTCGGTTGGCGTCCGTGAGCGCTTCGCAGGCGCCTCGTGTTGGGCGGGAGTGCGTGCCGCAGTTCTGCCCGCTGCCCGCCCGCTGGCGCTCGTGGGCGCCTCGTGGGCGCCTCCTGCGCCGAGCGGGTGTGCCGAGGTCTCGCCTGGTGCCCGCCCGCGGGTGCTGCTTGGGCGCCTCGTGCGCCGTGTGGGCGTGCCCGGGCTGCGCCTGCTGCCCGCCCGTGGGCGCCGCGTGGGCGCCTCGTGCGCTGGTTGTGTACGTGTGTGAGCGTGTGTGTGCGTGTGTGCCGATGTTTCGCCTGGCGCCCGCCCGTGGGCGCTCGATGGCGCCTCGCGAGCTGGCTGTGGGTGCCGAGGTCTCGCCCGATGAGCTCCCTGGGGCGCCCGGGGGCGCCGCGTGTGCCGGGCGGCTTTGCCGAGGTTCTGCCCGGTGCCCGCCGGTGGGCCCCCTGTGGGCGCCCTGTGCGCTGGGCGGCCGCATAGATTGCACCTCGCAGCTTTTACTTCTGAGCTTGCGCCACGTAGCTTGCACCACGTACCGTGCAACACATGGCTCACACCAGGCATATTGCACCACACAACTGGCACCACATATGCTGCACCGCGCAGCATACAACGCGTAGCTGATACCAATGGCATGTCCCGCGTAGCTTGCACCGCATAACTTACACCACATAGCTTATACCACATGGCCTTCACCGCATAGCATGCACCGCGTCGCTTACACCACATGTAATGCACACCATAGCTTGAACCACATAGCTTGCACCGCATGGCTTACGCACCCGCAGTGCAGTAACTTACTGGTTGGGGTCCATGCTGGCGTGCGTGATGCATCTTCTTTGTTGATCTCTATTCAAAAGTACATCTCCGCAGCAGGCGCCGGAAGAGGGATGGAGCATGGAGGGTTCGACTACACGCAAGAGTGACCTTTCGCCAGAGCGAACTTGGCGTGCGGGCCCAATGGTGCCCCCGATCGCCGAATGCGAGCCGATAGCAGCGGCTTGCGCGCCTGGTGGTGTCCCAAAAGGGCCCCCCCTTGGCCACGCACTTTTGTTTGTCTGGCATAAGGGTTCACGCGTCGTGGTTTAAAGCTTTGATCCAATGAAGTGCGCCATCTCAGGGATGCCTTGGTGAGCGTTTCGGTTCCAACGCGCCGCTCTGGGGCCTGGGGTACCCAGAGAGGCCAAAATTCTTGCGTTCCCTGCCCTCGTCCCTGGGAGGAGTGCCGACGTTCAGGACCTCTCACACCGCGCGCACGCATTGCATGCACCGTCGCTCGTCCTGCGCATGGATTCGCGTACGGCAGGTTTTCGCCGCGTCAACGCGGCGGCGACCCCAGCGCGGGCGTTCAAGGTTGGAACGCCGCTGGTATCCCCGAACCAGCCGACATCGGACAATCCGCGCTATCGGAAAGCCGCGATCTTGCAAGACTGCCAGGAACCAGTGCGCAGGAGCCAGTGCGACCCACAAGGTGCCAGGAACCAGTGCGCAAGCCGTCGCGACGCGAGCCTGCCGTAGTTCGGCCCGCTGCGCGTGCCCTCGTACCCGGCGGCTCAAAGACGGGGCCCCGAGGGATGGTGCCTCACGGACGAGGGGCCTCAAGCAATGCAGACTCAACTTGGAAGCGCTGCCTCTCCTTTGGGCCCCACCCCTCAGGGCTTCATCTCTGAACCGCCGACACGACTCGGCCTGGGGCCCGCCGGCGTCCTCCGCCTGGGCGGCAGCGTGGAGAACCCCGGCTCGGCACGCGATGCCCTCCCGCAAGGCGCGGTGCGGGGGTCTCCTCCTCCTGCTCAGGGCTGGACCTGAACGGTGTTTTGGCGATTGCGTGGGCCGTTTTCGTTTCGATTTCGTTTTGCGGCAGAGGCGGACTGAAGACGAAACGAGGGACAACGAAAACAAAGCGAAAACGAAAAACACCGTTCAGGTTCAGCCCTGCTGCTGCTCTCCTCCCGCTTCTCCTCCTCCGCTAGGGGAACAAAAAAGTGGCATCAACATAATAAAAACTCAGAGGTCCGCGCGGATTTCTCGGATCGGCGCTGGACCCCCCTGGCGGCGCCTCCGGCGCCGCCCCTGGCGCGCTCCGCGCGCCAGGGAGGGGGGTCCAGCGCCGATCCGAGAAATCAGCGCGGACCTCCGAGTTTCTATGTTTATGTCGCTTTTTGTTTCCCTTTTCTCCTCCTCCTCCTCCTCCTCCACCACCACCACCACCTTCTTCTCCTACTCCTCCTCCTCCTCCTCCGCGGCGCCAGCCAGGCACCGCACCGCGAGGGGGCAGTTCGCCGCCATCGGCGGGGGCCTCGGCCCGCGGCCGGGCCTTGACGCCCGCCCCCCCCCCCCCCAAGGGCCTCGCCCCACGCGCGGCGCTGCAGGAAGGGCATTCGAGGACGAGGTCGTGCGCAGCGGTCGTTGCCCGCCCCCCTCGCGTCCCCTCCATGGGGTACGCACTGCTCATGTCTAATTCTTCGAGAGTATTATTTGGTTGTTTGAGGGGCCGAGGTCCTTTCATTTCTGATTGTTCTATCCTGGGCCTCTTCCTGGCCGCTGAGGGGTCAGGAACAATCAGAAACGAGCACAATTAGAAATGAGCACGAGTAGACATGAACGACGTGCAATGGAAGTGATCGTACGCAGGGGGAGGGGCCTGTACCAACCTCGTGTTGGTGCTCGCGCGCGTACTGTGGCGATCGCAGCGCACCCCCGCTCCGACGTGCCCCATGCCGGCCAAGCGTCTCCGTTACCCTGGGCCCCAATTTTCACCATCCTCTGGGTAACGACCGTCACCGAGAATAATAAGACTACAATCTCAGCCCCCTCGTGTCGTTGAGAGAATCACGATGGACGATCTGTCGTACTTGGTTCAGCCTCCAGGGGCCCTCACCGGACCCCAGGCTCGTCAAAGAACGGCTCAGGATGAAGAAAAGCGGTTCTGGGGAAGGGGTCGAGACCTCGGGGGGTCCACGCTGTGAAGAAACCGCCGCGTCGGAGGTCTGGGTCGCCTTCGAGGGGCCGAAGGGCTAGGTATCTCTGCCTCGGCGGAGGACTGCCAGGAGACGGGTGGAAGTAATGCAGGGGCGGCGCCGCTGGCGGGGAGCGGCGAAGGGCTGCCAGAAGCTGACGGAGGCATTCTAGCAGGAAGCTGGATGAGCGTGAAGTGGCTGGGCTGGGCAAGAGCTGAATGCACATCTTTCGAGGCGGACCACCGCTGGAGGATGTATCTTCGGGGACTTTGGCTGACGGCGGATATGGATATACTATGTACACTTCGGTAGGCACATACTATCTACACATGTGCAGATCGATATCTGTGCATATCTATACATATATATATGCATCCACATATCTAGAACGAGGGATATGTATGCCTATACATATATATTGTCGTACATGTTGCCAATCACATTTTATACACATAAAACTGTATACAAATATGTTTCGATTGGCATACAGAGCTGTGTACATAGAGAGAGAGAGAGGCAACACAAGGGGAAACATACACACACACACCTATATACATACGTACACACCTATATATTTATATACATGTTCACGTACGGAGAGATCGTTGAATATACACATGCATGTACATACACGCATATCTATAAGACTGCAGTGGCGCTTCGCGCCATGAACCTTGGTCCTTGAGATTTGGTGTGCAGGCGGAATAGCAGAAAAGTCAAGCCGACAATTTAGCGATGACTCCTTGTTGTCTTTTCCGGCATCGCCGCTATAATAATGTTCTTCGTTTTCCTTCCTCCATGCTTCTTCTTTATTTTCGCCATACCCTGCGCATTCTCCCCATCCTCCTCAGCTCTTTTTTGCGGAGGCTCCTCCTTGGAGAGCCTCTGAGGGCCTCACAAAAATTGTTTCAAGCGTTCTTAAGGCCTTCTGGAGGCCTCCTGGGCGTATTCTGGGGCCCTCTGGGGGCTTCCTCGGGCCACCCTGCCTCCAACCGCGGTCTCCCTGAACGACCAGGTCACGATTTGGAATGCTTCGGAGGGTGTCTTGGGGCCATCTTGGGCCGCCATGGGGCTCTCTGAGGGCCATCTTGGACCCGTGTTGTGCCGTTTTGGGGCTCTCTTGGACTGCCTGGAAGCCCTTTCGGATGGCTGTGGGGCCATTTTGGAGCCTCCCAGGCGGCTTCGGACGCCCAGAAGACCGCCGTCTTGGAGCGTCGGGAACCCCAAAATTCACAAAAAATTTAAATAAAAGTCAATGATGTTTGCCTCTTGGGGCCTTCTTGGGAGTGCTCTTGGAGGCCTCTTTGGGGCCGTCCTGGAGGCCTCTTGGGCCATCTTGAGGTCACGTCGGTCACTCTTGGAGCGCTCTTGTGCTGTCTTGGGGGTATCTGGGGCGTCTCCGATGACCCCCCTGATCGCCCTAGGTGTGCTAGGAAGGCTTGGCAAAACGCCCTGCGAGGCCTGGGGGGCCGCTTCGAGGCCCGTCCAGAGGGTCCCAAAGCCCCAGATCTCGGGAGTCCGGTTTTCGGGAGGGGGGGGTGACGGGTTTTCCCCCCGCCCGGGCTTGCAAAAATATAGGAAGAGGAATATGGGCCCCCTCGGGACCAAATACATCTACACCCACCGCCCCCTAGGGTCCTGGGACATGGGCTACCCAGGCAGTGGATATGGATAAGCCCCCGCTTCGAACATCTGGCTGGGTGTCTTTCCAGCGCTCGGCCCTTCAGTGGCTCGTCACGCCTGGCTTCCGCGCGTGTATCCAGCGTGGCATCCAGGTGTTCTGCCTGTGGATCAAGCCATGCGTGTTTCCAGCTTCCTGCGCTCTGGCCCTGCGCGCCTGGCTGCTGCTGCTGCCCGCCCGGCTCCTCATCGTCGAACTCTTCGGCGTCTGAGCGTCCCTTCCTCCTCTCGGCCGTCCCCCCCCTCTTTGCCCGCCGGCCAATTCGCTAGTTAGTGCCCCTATCTAGCTTCTCGCTGGAGCGGAGTTCGTCCTCGCCGCTGACGAAAGAAGTGTTTCCAGCTTCCTGGTACATGCCCCCCTCACCTCGTCCCCTCCATATTATGCTCGCTTTTGGAGTTCAGGGGTTCTTGAGCGGCCCATTTTCATCATCTGCTGATTCAGTGTGTTCCCCATCCTACGTGTATTCTCGTTCATCCTCGTATATATATATATATATATGTATAGACACAAGACTGCAGTGGCGCTTCGCGCCATGCACCTTGGTCCTTGAAGTGTGGTATGCAGGCGGAATAGCAGGAAGGTCAAGCCGACAATTTAGCGATAACTCCTTTTTGGTTTTCCAGCATCGCCACTATAATAATGTGATTCGTTATCCTTCCTCCATGCCTCTTTTTCATCATTTTCGCCATACCCTGCGCATTCTCCCCATCCTCCTCAGCTCTTTATTGCGGAGGCTCCTCCTTGGAGAGCCTCTGGGGGCCTCACCAAAAGATGTTTTAAGGTTTCTTAATGCTTTCAGGAGACCTCCTGGGTGTATTCTGGGGGCCTCTGGGGGCTTCTTCGGGCCACCCTGCCTCAACCGCGGTCTCCCTGAACGACCGGGTCACGATTTGGAATGCTTCGGAGGGTGTCTTGGGGCCATCTTGGGCCGCCATGGGGCTCTCTGAGGGCCATCTTGGACCCGTGTTGTGCCGTTTTGGGGCTCTCTCGGATTGCCTGGAAGCTCTTTCGGATGGTTGTGGGGCCATTTTGGAGCCTCCCAGGCGGCTTCGGACGCCCAGAAGACCGCCGTCTTGGAGCGTCGGAAAGCCGAGAAGAGGAGAACCCCAAAATTCCCCCAAATCATCAGAAAATCAATGACTTTTGCCTCTTGGGGCCTTCTTGGGAGTGCTCTTGGAGGCCTCTTTGGGGCCGTCCTGGAGGCCTCTTGGGCCATCTTGAGGTCACGTCGGTCACTCTTGGAGCGCTCTTGTGCTGTCTTGGGGGTCTCTGGGACGTCTCCGATGACCCCCCTGATCGCCCCGGGTGTGTTGCGAAGGCTTGTCAAAACGCCCTGCGAGGCCCGGGGGGCCGCTTCGAGGCCCGTCCGGAGGGTTCCAAACCCAGATCCCGGGAATCCGGTTTTCAGGGCGGGGGGGGTGATGGGTTTTCCCCCCGCCCGGGCTTATAAAAATATAGGAAAAGGAATATTGGCCTTCGGTCCATACCGCGACACCGTATTTCGGTCGTGGACCAGAGGCCTCGCTCGGCTGATCCAATAGGGCCCTGGGAAGATCCGAGAGGTTCCGCAAAAGCGGTCCAGGACTGGTCCCAATCATTGCTAGTCCCCAATCAGTGCTTGCACTGAAGGGGTCCTCGCGGACGCTGAGCGATTTTCGGAAAATTCGGCGCCGACTTCGGAGGGCGGCCAGCTGATGAAGTTTTCAGTGGCGGCCAGGTTTCCAGGGACTCCAGAGAGCAGATTGGAGTAGGGTTAAGTCGGCCTGTCCCTCTACAGGAGGAATATGCAATAATAATAATAATAATACTAACAATACTACTACTACTACTACTACTACTACTACTACTACTACTAACTACTACTACTACTACTACTACTACTACTACTACTACTACTACTACTACTACTACTACTACTACTACTACTACTACTACTACTACTACTACTACTACTACTACTGACTACTACTACTACTACTACCACTACTACTACTACTACTACTACTACTACTACTACTACTATTACTACTACTACTACTACTACTACTACTACTACTAATAATAATAATAAAACATTGGTATGGGGACGATTTTTCAATTATGTTTCCTGTTGCTTGCGTATTTTGACATTCTAAGTTTTTCACCCAAAATCCGCCTGAGGGGGACGCGCCCGACCAGCGAGTAGGGGGGCGCAGGGAGTAGCGATGCGAGAATAAAGTCTGGAGGGCGCCCAATGGGCCCCATGGTCGGTCATCCAGGGGCATCCCTGAGGCCCCGCTGGAGCCTCATTGCTGGGAGGGCCTCGAGAATATCCGAGAGAGAGAGAGAGAGAGAGAGTCCCCAACGGAACGCACCAACGGACTTCTTTGTGGTAGGTTCCGTTGGGGCTTCCTCTGGGCGTCTCTCGGGACCTCATTCGGGCATCCTGGGGGCCCGTGGAGGGCCCGCGTTGAAGCAGGTTGGGGCCCTTCGGGTCCCCTTGGGCTACTCCTGGGACCGTCTTGGCGTTCCCTCGGGGCCTCGCTCGATCTTGGCGTTCTATCGGCCCCGCGAATGCCCCCCAGAGACCCCCATTTCAGCCTATCAGCCGATCCCTTTGTGGTAGGTTCTGGTGGTGGCCCTCGTGGACCCTTCTTGGCATCCCCGTACA